AAGCCAGGGTAAGACAGACCTCATCAGACAGACTGACACTCATTGGGTCTGCTGGGCAGCCCTTCGGCAGGCAGGACAGCTGCAGCCCCCCAGCCCTGGCCACCAGTTCCCCGCTAGTTCTGTCTGAAGGACAGAACTCCCCCAAGGACAGCAGATCTTTGGCAGGGGCACCCGCACAGCATGAGGTACAAGACACCTCTCTGGAATGCAGCAGGGTCACCATCAGGTGAGGGACCCCAAAGGCCCCAACTGCCACGTTGTGGTGTGCCACAAGCATGGCCACACACAACCTTGGGTCTCACCCAGCTCCTCCAGGCGCTTCTTCTGCTCCTCCCTCCATTTGCGGATGCTCTCAGGTTCCTGCGTCAGCCGGTCAGCTTTGGCTATGGCTGCGTAGGCATCCGTGGGGCCGTTGGACTCCTGCAGGAGAGGAGCACCTCACCATCAGCACCAGCTCCTCCCACAGCCCAGCCCAGCCACCTTGATGGGCTGGCAGCAGGGCAGGACTCCACACTCCCAGCACTCAGACAAGCCAAGATAGGAAGTAGGGAGGGTGACAGCCTGGGACATCTGGGACAGTGTCCCCAAAGCGCTGCTCAAGCTGCTGTTCCAGCTCCCAGGCCCTGTCACCCAGAAAGACTTCCCAGCATTCCCCTCCTTGACTTGCTGATCGCTGCCAACACAGCTCTTGCATCCTCTGACAGCCCCACAGCAGAGGACAGCCACCGGCTTTGTGACGTGCTCCCCACCAGCACTGGGCTTCCCTGGCCCTGACTTGCGCTGAGGCAGCTCCAGGACTGAGCATCATTACAGGCTTGGCCACAATAAATAGCAGAGCCCAGGCGGGAGGCAGGGCCCAAGGTAGGTACCATGCTCTGCCTGGACACCAGCCCGCAGGCGAGAGCCTCCCTTGGTCCTCCGAGCCGAGCTGCCTGTATGGCTCCTGCCAGGCTCAGCACCTCTCCTAACACCTTCCGCTGGCCAGGAGGCCCAGCCCGACATTGAGCTCAGCAATGAGATTACAGATCTCCTCCAAGATCCCCAATCTAATTAAGTCTGCCTCATCTCTAATGTGATTATGATCCTGTAAATTAGGCACAGACAATGCACATGCCACTCTGCTGGGCAATGAGTGGGGTGAAGGGCTTGTCAGATGCTGGCACAGCTTCTCCTATAGCAAACAGAGCTGGGCTTCATGCTCCCAGAGGGAGCTGAGGCAGGTGGCCCTCATGAAACACACTTGGAGCAGGTGGGTTTAATGGGAGATGCTGCCAGAACTCATCAGCAAGGTCACAGCAAAGCAAGTGGCCCATGGCAGCCCTGTCCTTACTCTCGACTCTGCCAAGAGATGCTCCTAAGAGGCCTCCAGGAGCTACCCAGGCTGGACAGAGGGGGCTTCTGGTAGAGAATGGAGGATTTGCCATCTGCTTTTAGGGTCTGGCACTCCTTCAGGGCACAGGCCACCCACAAACAGATTTGGGGCTGGTCATGGCAGGCAGGACCAATCTCTCCTTTAAGCAGGGGTGAGAATGGAGCGGCCAGGATTCCCCTGTCGAGACCCAGACCTTCCCACGAACGCCATAGCTAAGTCCAGTCAATCCTGGGGGCACACCAGTAGAGTGCTGGCCCCATACCCACCCAATCCCCCTTAGTACGACTGGGCTGGGGCAAGGGGCTGAGCTCTCACCTGAAAGACATCTCCATTGACAGTGGCTCCTCCATTCTGGAAACCAGCTAGAGAAAAAGGAGAGAGAAAGAGAAACACAACTATGGCAGCTGCAGGTGATCCCAGAGGGGCTGGTGTTGATGAAAAAGCAGCAAGTCAGTTCGTGTGGGATGTGGCTGTGCCATTTCCAGCCCAGCACACCCATCCAAAACAGCCCCACATGCGTGGGCCAGTCCTCGTGGTCTCCTGACCTTGGTGGAATTCAGCCAGCACCTCTCTCTCCCCCAGACAAGCCTCTCCGGACATTTATGTCTTTATGGTGTTTTCACTGGTGTTTTATCTTATCGGAAGATTAGGGAAACTGTTCCAGGCACAGGGCTGGACACAGGCAAGTGCTCTGACTGTAGAAAGGCAACCTGACCAACCCCAACTTGCTAGTGGCCAGGCACAGGCTGCCAACGGATACAGACAGGTGACCCAGAAGCTGTCAGCTGTGTGCCCAGCAGTGTGGGGTTGTGACAGGAAGGCAACCTGCCAGGGAGAGAGCCCACAGGAACACTGCAGTGTGTTCCACCAGGACAGGAGGGCAGGCATGCATGCCAAGGTCCTCGAGAGCCCACCTGGGGGGATGCCCCTGGGATAAGCTGCAAGGTTAGGGCTGGGAATGAGGCACCACTGAAACCCACAGCTGGGGTACAGCTCCATCTTCCCCCCAGCCCCAGAAAACAGAGTGAGCTGCACAGTAGGGCTGCAAGGCCACACTCATTCAGGGTGCTCTGCTGCTGGGAGAGAAGAGGCTTTGAAGGAGGCAGACTCCAGGCCCTGAGCTCTCCCCAGTGATGACCACAGGGCTTCTACCAGGCAGCACAGGCACATGCAGCTGCACAACCACAGCACAGCTCAAGCAAGCGCTGTTCCCATGGTGCTTGCCCCCACGGTGCAGCTCCAACTATACCTTGCTCCAGCCTGTCTGACTGCATTTATCACCATGGCTGTCAACACCTTGTCAGGCCCAGGTCTGCCTCTGCGGCCCTATGTGTGGAGAGGTGAAACCACTGCTCTGCAGCCAGCACAAGAAGGCCCTGTGGGCCGGGGTTAGGGGAAGGAGCCAGAATACTGTGGCAGCAGCATCCCTTGTCCATGGAGAGAGCAGACCTGAGCCCCTGCTACCTACCAAAGCCCCGCAGACTGGAGGCAAAAGATCAGTATTAGCACGGTCTATCTGCAGGGCCTGGGACCACAATGTCCCCAATGGAAATGCCTTCCATTTTGCACCCCAAAGGGCTCTCCTGTCTGTGGGGACAGTGACACAGCTGTCATTGCTCCTCAGCTTCGCCTGGATGCCTCTCATGCTGCCCTGGCTGGAGGCACTGAGACATGGAGACAAGGTTCCATCCAACCCAGGGAACCCAGCCTGAGCACACGGGGAGAAAATCATCCCACAACTGTCAAGTCCCAGTTCAGGATTCACCCCACATCAAGCCCTCTGGGACCAAGCACAGGTCCTAGATAGTTGCTACTGGGATGTAGGCCTGGTCCACTGTCGAACCCTGTCACTTGCCCACTGCGGGGGCAGCAGGGACCCCATCACCCGCTGGGGATGCTGTGCATCCCATGGGGAACCCCAATCCCACGGGGGCGCAGCCTCGAGGGAACCCCTCCCTGCGCTTGGGGCAAGAAGGGGCTCAGTCCTCCTTTACACCCGGGGGGGGCAGCCCCCTCCGCGCCCACC